TATACCTATTCGAATATTGGGTCTTTTACATTACGTTACGTTACCATTGAGAAAGTCCATTGTATCAACGTGTCTTCGTGTGTTTACCATGAGTACCTGCTATAAGTAGTCAAACCTGTTGGAATATTGTGACTTTGTGTTCTTTTTTTATTTTATCTATTTATTTATTTATCATACATAACTGAGATATGTATACTTCAAATAGAAATTTTGAGAGTAATGGAATTATTTTTTGACAATTCTTCGTAGACTTTTTTTTTTATTTTTCCGGTTAATGTTTTGAACTGAAAGCTGTTATAGATATAACTGGACATCATAGGCTATCTAAATAGGAAAATTCACTGTTAGTAATTAAACTCATACATGTTAAATGAATTAGACCGCGTCTGTGGTCTGTTGGTAACGTGCTGGCCTCGAATGTAAAAGGTTTCGTAATCGATCCCCATTCGAGTAAAGCCAAAGACCTGAAGCTTTTCCGTTAAACACAAACGTGGCATACAGGATTGAGAACATAGATAGCTGGGAGTTAGTATAAAGAGTCGGGGAAGGGTAACACGTCTTCTTTTACACTGTTACATGGACCATGTGAACGAACACGTTAAAAGTCCGACTCAGTGTGTTGGTCTAGTACATAGCAGAATGCATATCACATTACCATCTCATCCTGATAGGCACGTAATATTTGCCACTCTATGTTTATTTCCAATGTATTCATCCATCAAATAAATTCATTCTAGTATTAAAAGATGAAAAAAGCCAGGGTAAGTAAAACCAATTGAATGGCCGCATGTCTATTGTGGACGATATTTGACTTTATCACCATTTTTTTATGTTCCTTGATTTGATACCATATATTTTTGCAATTTGTTAGTTTGATATTAAAAAAAAACTCAATAATCGAGAGAAAAGAACATCATAAAAAAACTGTATGATATTTTCTGATAATTACACTGATATATCAACCTGCCAATATATTTCAAATATTGCTGTTCCCATAGCATTGTGAAACATATTGTTCCTGTCGATCAATTTTAAATGTTCTACTTTGAATCATTCTTTTTGTTAAATATAAGGTATGATTAGGATCATTATTTTGCCCCCAAAATTGCAACAATGTTTGATTATCCAAGACTTTCAAAATTATGTTTTTCTTTATGGATAAATAAACAGGTTGAAATATCTTAAACACTAATATGCAGAAAAGTCACATGTGATATCACTAAAAGATCATTAATATGTTGATTTGACTTATTCGACCAAAAATGACAATTTTACTACTGTAGTTTTTTCATGGACGAATTAGATTTGAGCAAAGGGACATGTTTATAAAATACATTTTGTAACATAATATCATGTATAAATTTGACAGTGTAAAAACAAATATTGGAGGAGGAAATGATCCTTTTACTGGAGTGTTCATTGCTCCGAACGATGGACCTTGTAATTTTTCCAGAGTTCTATATTCACATTCATCAGGAACTGATATTGAAGCTCAGATTACAAAAAACCACGAATTACTATTGAAATGCTGCTCGTATGCTGCTTCAAGTATAGAGTCTGACGTAATGAATAGTATTGTCGACATATCCCTCTGAAGAAGGTGATCATATGTACATTCACTACAGAAGAGGATCAGCAGACAAAGTGCTCGGGGATCTTTATTTGTCCTTTTCTGAATTTATGATATAGGAAATTTACAATTAATCATCAATTAATAAAGGTGTCCTTTTCGACGTATTTGTTTTTGAATAAAAGTTATCATGTCATATAGATTGTTGCAGTCTTGTTATGTCCCATGTACATGTATATATAAAATATACCTAATTATTTTGCATGCACTGTATGTGATACTGATAAGTTCATTCTATTCTGCAAAATTAATATTGATTTACAATGTCATTTGTGTCGTATAATTTTAAGCCCTGTTGTTATTTAAAACTATTCTCATTTAAAATGTACCATCAACAATTTCTTGGTTTCTTAACGGTACATCAATAATCCGTTGATATGCATTCCAAAATGTTCACCTTTATTCATTAACAATGGGGTTTTGAACGATGTTCATGATTGTTGGTATAATATCTTTAGTTTTATTTAGTTCCATTGGTTGAAAATATATTTGATTCACAAGTAGTTTTAATGGTATTGGTATTTCAACGGAATAGAATGGACATTAGTAACAATATTTTTATCTTTGTGCAATGATGTTATCTGTCCTTATTATTCAAATCACATGTTTGATTAGTTCAAAGGTAAATTCTGTATTTTGGCCATTTGGAATCCTTCGGTTGTCAAAAAGCAATACAGAGTCAAAGAGTCTGAAAAAAAATAATGGCTGGATTGTGACCAAAATACCTACATTATAATAGCTATTTATACCCTGTAAATAGCATGTATTTAACCACTAATCCTACACAATTATTGCGACGATAACCGGGGTTAGAGTTTTGGCGGGAAAAGTCTTTGCCGATCAACCATGTTATATGAATCATTTTTCATCCTGTTCTGGAAAAACATCATTTTTTCAGTTCTTACAACCCAAGAATATCAAAAGGGCATACCGTAACTCCAATGAAAGTATGGGAAAGTACGTAAATGGGGTATGAATCATTTGCTATACAGTAGGGTGTTGATGGAGTTTGAATAATAGAGAATAATTTAAAAAATATCAAAGAATATGATAAAAAGGATAAAAAAGAATTAAGAAAAGTTGGTTAATAGTTATAAATAGAGAATAATGTGGATCTAAAATATATAGAATCGAAAATAATGGACAAAATATTGATTATAGAAAAAATATGAGAAAACATAAATGATAACTATAGACTTTCCTCCTAAATGTACAACCTCATATATCATCACCCGTCATAGAATTCCGAAGTGGTATCCAGTATTAAGTATGAAAGCCAGGGTCATTTTTATAAAACTGGTTGAAATGATGGGTGACTCATATTGGACATTTGGGAATGGCAAATATGGATGGCAATGATAATTAAAACAAGAATGCACACGCTGAAATGTCTCGCCTGTTCTACTAATCGTTAAATTCATGTTGAAAGTCTGTGATATGAAGGTTATACTACAAGTATCACATAAACATAAAATTATCAATGCTCTATGAAAAAAAGGTAACGGTCAAATGAACCATGCCAAACAGACATGTACACCTTATAATCATTCCGTACGCCAAATGTACTGGTCCTATTGCTTAAAATACATGAGAAACAGATAAAACCACAAAATGTTAACACTGACCAATGAACCATGAAAATTAGGTCCAGGTTATATGAATCCTGCCAGACAGACAAGTACACCTTGTAATCATTCCATACACCAAATAGAGTTAACTTATTGCTTATACATGTTATAGTATCTGATAAACTGACAAAATTACGAAAACTTATCATTGACTAATGAACCATGAAAATGAATCCAAGGTCATATAAACCCTGCCAAACAGACATGTATACCTTACGATCGTTCCATACACCAAATATAATTGACATATTACTTATAATATCTGCGAAATAGACCAAACCGCAAAAAATAAACATTATCAAAAGAACCATGTAAATGGGACCAAGGTCAGATGAAACCTGCCAGACGAACATGTACACCTACCAATCATGCCATACAACAAATAAAGTTAACCTATTGCTTATAGTATCTGAGCAATAGACCAAACCACAAAAACTAAACATTGTCCAATGAACCATTAAATTTAGGTCAAGGTCAGATGAAACCTGCCAGTCGAACATGTAAACCTTACAATCATTCCATGCACCAAATATATTGGACCTATTGCTTATAGTAACTGAGATAAGGAATTGACCACGTAACTTTAACCTTGATCATTGATCTATTAATTGAGGTCGAAGTCAGGTGAACCCTACCTGAAAGACATTTAGACGGTGCAAGATACCCACATACCAAATATAGTTATCCTTTTACTCATTAAAAATATATTTTTTTTCAAGCAGTCACTGAATCATGAAAATGAGGTTAAGGACAATGGACATATGACAGACGGAAACTTTGTCACATAAGGTATCTGTATACAAGGTATGAAACATCCAGGTCTTTTCAAAACAGACACATTAACGTTATCATGGTTGTAGTCTTGGTCAGATTTAAGATGTTTCTATTCATGAATGGAAGCTGTAAATTGAAAATACCACCATTGTCATGGTTTATTCTACGTTTAAGTTGTTGATTGTTAATGTTACACTAGGAACATACACAATTTGTAAATAAGTAGTAAAGAGGCACAGTACATTAAGTATTTGTAGTTGTGTCATGACGTCATCGCATTTTGACGTAATCGTCCAGAATATATCGAGGGACCAGAAATGCAGAAGTCACGAGAACGAAAATGTGTACTACGCGTACGCAAATTCTGTGTACCAAGGAGGAACATAACATATTTCGTCTATCAATAAATTTCAAGTTTTGTGAATAAAACAATTGTGAACTATACGTCAATGAGATGAAAATCCAACGACACAAAAAGCAAAACCACATTGACATGTCATCATAGAGTCCAACGGAAAATTATTTATTCAAAATGTCATAAACCGTGCCTAGGGAGTAAGAACCTTAGAGAAAAAACAAGTTATTTTACTGAGAGTTGTCGAGGCCACTATCTTGAATGGGACCACAAATTTCGCGCAATCTATCGTTCAGAAGCTCTCGGTTGGATAGGTAAGTAGTATGGTTCGTTAGTTTTTACGTTAGGTTTCAATGGTACAATTTCGTGCAAAAAAGGATAAAAAGTGGATTGGGCGGTACAATAAAATGACCAATCTAATCGTTGGAAATTCCACCAATGCGAAAGTACGTAACGGATAATTTCAGCGTATCCCAAACCCTGACACACGATTTATATCGAGGTTATTTGAAGGAAACAAATCGTCATAGGATTGCGTCATCGTTATTGTTGATGATATTATTATTTTCCTTGTTTGACTATTATGTTCCGTGTGAATTTGTCTGAACTTTGAAATTTTGTGTCAATTCTTCCTTGTACTTCGTGAAATGAATGGAACTGTGTAGAAAACTATAGTATTGAAATATTATATGTAAACTATAAAGGATAACATCTAAGTGTTCAAACTTGAACTACTGGTAAGTTTAGCTGAAAGTTCAGTGTATGAACATACTAGATTTGTAAGTGGAGGACGGCACGTTTTCTTCTAGAGCTTGCATTTAGTATCTGTAGTGTAATTTGATATCGCATTGTTTTATAATTTTCAATTTGCCAGTATTATAAAGTTTTCTCTTAACGTGTAAGACTATTCTGAACTTATTTTTTTTGAGATTTTCTGTGTGACCTTTAATAATGTTGATGGTCTTGCGTAAGCGCCTTCGAGAACGAGAAGACGTTACTGCGTTCGTCCCTATGACGTTGTATGTGTCGATTGATTTTTGTCTCATTGACGTATAGTTCACAATTTTTTTATTCACATGACTTGAAATTCATTGATAGACGACATTTGTAATTTTCCTTCTTGGTACACATAACTTCCGTACGCGTAAACAGCATAGTAATAATTGAAATTTACGCCTTGCAATCATCCCATACACTAAATATAGTAACCTATTGCTGACAGTATCTAAAAACAGACTTAATCTTGAAAACATAACGCTTTATAGGCAATATACCAACATCACCTGCATATGGGATAACAATTTCCCAACTCATTCGGTATTCAACAGCTTGTAGCTGCTACTCAGACTTTATAAAGCGTCACCAGTGTCTGAGCAGAGAGTTGATGAACCAGGGTTATGTCAAAGACCGTCTCGTCCTTTTTCTAATTAAAGTTCATCGGAAGATACCAAGACCTTGTTGATAAATATTCCGTATCAACTTCACAAATAATACTTGATGGTCTTGAAGTATAAATTCTAGGTACTGACGTTGTTTATCATCTTAATAACGTGTTATAGTGTTCTTTTATATGTCTTTGTACATTATTAACCTTTGCTGTTTAGTCCATTTTTGGTAATATCCTTTTGGCGTGAATCGGTTACTTACGTATCCCGCCAATGGTGTTGTTGCGCTGTGGTAATTTTTTGTATTCTTGTCTTCCTTTTTTGCTTATGTGCTTTGTCCATATGCCATTTTGTTTTTCTTTGTTGATATATCTGTTTGTTTTTATAGTGAATAAGCTTATAACACAATGTTGACTGCTGTATCCCTATTTTAACGTTTGTACCTATTATGTCTGTTTGTTTTGTTCACACATCGTTGTCAATATAATGGAATTTTATGCGACTGTCATACAAGTGAGAGGTTTAGCTAGCTATAAAACCAGGTTTAATCCACCATTTTCTACATAAGGAAAAGCCTGTACCAAGTCACGAAGATGACAGTTGTTTTCCATTCGTTTGATGTGTTTGACTTCTTGATTTTGCCATTTGGTGAGGAACTTTCCGATTTGAATTTTCCATGGAGTTCGGTATTTTTGTTATTTTACTTGTTATGCGACTGTCATACAAGTGAGAGGTATAGCAAGCTATAAAACCAAATTTTATCCACCATTTTTTACATAAGGAAATGTCTGTACCAAGTCAGGAATATGACAGTTGTTTTCCATTCGTTTGATGTGTTTGAGCTTTTGATTTTGCCATTTGATAAGGGACTTTCCGCTTTGAATTTTCCTTGAAGTTCGGTATTTTTGTTATTTTACTTTTTAAAGTCAACCATAAAAATGAGATAAAGTTCAGATAAACCTGTCAGACAGACATATACACATTGCGATCATTTCATACACCAAATATAGTTTGTTGCTTAAAATATACGAGAAACGAACTTAACCGTGAAAACATAACATTGACCAATGAACTATGAAAAGGGGACCAATGTCAGATGCAGTTGCGGAAAACATATGCTATTTTAAGCAGTCACTGAACCATGAAAATGAGGTCAGGAACAATAGACATATGACAGACAGAAACATTGTAATATAACGTATCTGTAGATAAGGTATGAAGCATAAATGTCTTCTACCCCTAAAATATAGGTAAAGCTTTCCACAAATAGTTAACATCGTCGTCGCTGCCGAGTTACAATCCCTGTGTCGCATTCCGCGACTATCATCGCAATAGAGAGATAATGTTCTTGTTCCTTACGCGTTGTGGAGGACATATAAATACCGGGCGTCCATCTGTCTGTCCGTCCGGTTTTGTTAGCACTCTCATCCGTACAATTCTTGCCAGATTTTCTTAAAACTTATATCATAGGTCTATATTAGCAATGTCTGGGACAAGTGCGAAAATCCATGTTGATCAACTACTTTTAAAAGAGTTATGCCTCTATGAAATATTAATTATACGGAAAATTTCATTGAAAGCGTTTTCATGTGAACAATTTTTGCCAGATTTTAATAAAATTTATATCAAAGGTTTATATAAGCAATGTCTCTGACAAGTTCAAAAATCAGTGCCGATCAACTATTTTTAAAAGAGTTATACCCCTTTAAAATATTAATATTATGGAAAATTGTATTGTTAGGGCTCTCGAACATGTGTAGAATTCTTGCCAGATTTTTATGAAACTGACATCATAGGTTAATATTAGCAATGTCTCGGAGAACTTCAAAAATCGGTGTCGATCAGCTATTTTTAAAAGAAAAAAATGTAAGTTATATTGAAAATTGCATTGTAAGCGCTTTTGTGTGAACAATTTTTTCCAGATTTTTATAAAATTTATATCAAAGGTTTATATAAGCAATGTCTCGGACAATTTCAAAAATAAATGCCGATTCAACTATTTTTAAAGTTATGCCCCTTGGAAATATCACTTATATTGGAAATTGCATTATATTTGCTTTCATTTCTCGAAGATATCTTTAAAAAGTTTAAAAGAACAAACCAAAAAAAAAAGTAGTTTTTAGTTATTGCAGTTGGATAGATAAAAAATGTGCAACGCGGGGGACATTGGAACTCTGTTCTTTAATCTTTTTAATTGGACCAAAGGGTATCAGTGCATCAAAATCCCTTACCAATTAGAGATGCGCCTGAGAAATGAAGGCATAACGTTCATGTTTGTCATATTGAACTGAGGTATACAAACATCGGGAATCTATTGAGGTGAAAATTAAGCACATTAATTATTCTAATATTAATAATCTCTTAGCTATGGAGGAAGCTATTGCAGAGTAAGTAATTAAAATTCCTTGAAAACTTCAATAACATGCATTTGAATTTAAAAATTTCGAATTACAATTTACATTGCAGGATGGCTAATGTTATTGATAGGAATGAAGTTCTGAAGAATAGATATTCCGATATTTTACTCAGTCACACATTCTTAATTCTCATTGGAACAGTAATAGGGGTGCTAGGAAATGGTGCCACCATTTTTGTGTACTCCTGTCGGATTAAGGAACGAGGAGAACGCTATTTCATTCCTTTATTAGCACTCGTGGATCTTACTGCCTGTTTAACTATTTCGACAAATTATGCTATGAATGGTTATACATATTTTTACGATTATTCAAGTAACATCGTTTGTTGTGTCACTACATTCTTGCAGGTGTTTGCTTCCGGACTGTCGGCTCATATTCTCCTTATCATAAGTATTCAAAGGTACCATTTAGTATGCAAACCGTTCGGTCCAAAGATGACATTGTTCCGGAAAAGAGTTTCGCTTGCTGTTGCATGTTTATTTACATTGGTGTATTCTTGTCCACTGTTAGGTTTATCAGGAACGGTTACAACCGAAAACGTTCTTCTGAATCATACAATTAATACAACGACATGTAGATTGTCCACAGTAGACGCAATACCAATTACTATCTACTTTGGAGTTTTTGCTCTGATAATATTGTGTAATCTTGTTCTCACCACAGTCCTTTGCATACCAGTCTTCAAAAAGATTAAAATTACCTTTCTAGATAAATCAAAAAACCAACGTTTAGCCACTAAAAAGAAGCAAAACATGTCCAGTCAAGAAGTTTTGGAAACAAGTTTGAAAAAGACATATGCATCCGCTATTGAGTTAAATTCAGATATTAAAGATACAGCTAAAAGTAAATCATCCGGAAAGAGTGAATTCCGGAATATTGCCTCGAATCTAGAACTCGCACATGATTCTCCCATGTATGCAGTGCAATCTTCTAAGAACGATAATTCAAGAACTGAATTAGAAGAAAACGAAAAAAGCTTAAAGGAGTCTTCCAAATCAAGGAGTAGTTCAGTAAAAGCAAGAACAAGAACTATGTTTTTCGTTATAATATTTGTCTACGTTATCTCTTATATTCCTACGGTTGTCTGTTTGATACTTAGATACACAATTGAGAATATTAACGAAATAACTTTTTCGAAGGGAGAAACATTTGCTTGGTTTTATATAGGACGGTTATTTATTGTTAATCACATTGTAAATCCTTTTATTTATTGTTATTTTGATGTGAAATTGAAAAGGGAATTAAGACAGTGGTGTACACACCAGTCAAATGTACAGAATTAATAGTACTAGTTGTTTTGAGATGAAAAACTCACAGATACATTAGATTTACTTCATTTTAAATATATATCAGTTTGTATTGTCAAAAGAGATGGTAGTGATGACGACGATTATGATGATGATGAGGAGGAGGAGGAAGAATAGGAAGAGGAGGAGGAGGAGGAGGAGGAAGAGGGATTGTTGTTTAATGTCCATTTGCAATTATTACATGCATATTAGTACGAGAACACATATGTTAATGTGATACGTACTTTACTTTGTCCAAGACCACCACGCTGAGCCGGATTTTTAACGAGCCTATTTTCAAGTCTTTGGTTGTATCCGCCCTTGATTCCAACCGTCAACCACCAGTGTGTGACATTTGATTTGATCAGATGTTTATTCGTTAACATGATCAAATAATTTCATAGAATTTTTCCTGTATTTTGACGAAACTTATTTGTTCTGTGTGTTTCAAATAGAATGTCCTCGTCATAGTTGATCCCATGGACATGTTTGCCAAATGTGTTTTGGACCAATATATCTTATATAACTAAACATTAAGATTGCTTATTTGATAATAGAAAATAATATCCCAAAATAAGGGGGTTTATTAAAAAATCAAAAAGTAAATTTACAGTAAATAAAATTGAGAATGGAAATGGAAAATGTGTCAAAGAGACAACAACCCGACCATAGAACAGACAACAGCAGAAGGTCACCAACAGGTCTTCAATGCAGCGAGAAATTCCTGCACCCGGAGGCGTCCTTCAGCTGGCCCCTAAACAAATATATATACTAGTTCAGTGATAATGAACGCCATACTAAACTCCAAATTGTACACAAGAAACTAAAATTAAAAATAATACAAGACTGACAAAGGCTAGAGGCTCCTGACTTGGGACAGGCGCAAAAAATGCGACGGGGTTAAACATGTTTATGAGATCTCAACCATCCCCCTATACCTCTAGCCAATGAAGAAAAGTAAACTCATAACAATACGCACATTAAAATTCAGTTCAAGAGAAGTCCGAGTCTGATGTCAGAAGATGTAACCAAAGAAAATAAACAAAATGACAATAATACATAAATAACAACAGACTACTAGCAGTTAACTGAAATGCCAGCTCCAGACTTCAATTAAACTGATTGAAAGATTATGTCTTCATCATATGAATATCAGGCACAATCCTTCCCGTTAGGGGTTTAGTATCATACCATCATAACATATATGAGAAGAACATAACCCGTGTCATGCCAACAACTGCTTTTTAAATAAATGTGTTTAGTGCCGATGCAAAGACCCTATAAGTAAATCAATATTAACGCCAAAATATGCAATCTTTAATGACCAGACAACAGTATCGTAACTATATCCCTTCTTAATAAGTCTATTTAAAGGTTTTGTTAGCTTCAGAGGTGAATACTGACATTTTTGTGCTTTATAAAGAATATTTCCATAAAAAATTGGATGTGAAATACCTGAACGTATAAGAAGTCTGAATGTTGAGCTAAATTTACGAATGATGTCCTTATACCGATGATAAAATTTAGTAAATGTTTTGACTAGTTTGTGATATCGAAAACCCTGGTGTAATAATTTTTCAGTAATACATAAATTTCTCTCGTTAAAATCTAAAACATTGTTACATACACGAGCGAATCGTACAAGTTGAGATATATAATCACCGTAAGATGGTGACAAGGGAACGTCACCATCTAAAAATGGATAATTAACGATAGGAAATGACAAATCATCCCTTTTATCATATATTTTAGTATTAAGCTTTCCGTTAATGATATAGATATCAAGATCGAGGAAAGGGCAGTGGTCATTGTTAGTATTAGCTTTATTTAAAGTAAGTTCAACAGGATAAATTTCTTTAGTATGCATACTGAGGTCGTCATTATTGAGAGCCAAAATATCATCCAAATATCTAAAAGTATTATTAAATTTGTGTATCAGATGTTGTTTCGATGGGTCTTTGCTGATTTTTGTCATAAATTGTAACTCATAGCAATACAAAAAAAGGTCCGCAATAAGTGGTGCACAGTTAGTCCCCATTGGAATTCCGATAACCTGACGATATACGGAATCTCCAAAGCGAACAAAAATGTTATCTAGTAAAAATTCAAGGGCATATATAGTATCAAAGCATGTCCAATTGACATAGTTTTTTTGTTTATTGCTACTGAAAAATGACCTAAAAGAGTTTGAACATATATATTCACATTCTGACTTTTTAAATGCCCATTTAATTAGGTGTGTGAATTTTTTCTTAATGAGAATGTGAGGCAACCTATTAGTATCCTATAACTTGGCAAAAAGGTAACATGAAAATATGCGTCTAAAAGACAAACCTAACATAAAATAGAATAAATTTACCAAATTGAAATATAGCAGAGAGAATACTCATCGGAAATATAATATTTGAACATTTTATATATATTTATATAAAATTGATGATGTAAGTTTTAGTGTGATGACCTATGTAAACGCGCTTGAATTGTTATCATAAGATATGAACTCTTAATTTTTTCAAATATAACACGTTTGTAAGATATATCTTATCAATTTATAGAAAATTAAGAAATTATCGTTTTAAACAGAAAAATATGCAGTCAAAAAAGATATATATTTTGTGTTGAAAAAAAAATGTACAAAGATCAATATTTAATGTGTCGTACTTCTACTGCCAATAGAGACGAATTTTGCTTTGCCGGGTGTATAAATACACAACCACTTCCGAACTAATTAAAGATGTTTACCCGGAAGGATACCAGGCTCACCGGATGCACAAAGCCATAAAACCAACTTTTGCTCAGAGGCATCAATTTGACCGTACCGGATGTATAATTGCACAGTCACGTCTATTTCGCTTAGAAACACCCCGCCCAATTTGGACAATGACTCGAATAAACGTAATCTATTGAAATACGAATGACTGTCATACTAACGGTGTCGCACGCTGCATAACCCGGTTCAACCAGTCACTGCCTTTCTGTCAGATCTGTACTCTGACTCTCTATTGTTAACTGTTGCCAAAAACAAAACAATTATATAGATACATAGCAAAAATAAAATGATTGTTTTCATGTAGATACGTTTCTTCGACGACAAATAATTGCAGCGCATATATTCATAGCATATTGTGCTCGCTGTGTTGGATGTCATCAAATAGAATGCGAGAAAGAGAGAGATTCTACGACAAGATCCTGTTAAGTATGATATATTATACCAGAACCAGTCCTATACAACAGCATAGACAGTGTAATGGTCACTAAACTTTACAGAGTCCTTGAAACAAATCTGTCAGGGGTCCATAGGGGGCCTTTTGGAAGATAAAATCTATGTGCTTGTCTAACATAGGGCACCTGTTGGAAGATAAAATCTCTGTAATTACATGCTCCCCTTTTCCGGTTGCAGCCAAAAGTCGTACTCATTTACTGGTAGACACACTCTGCAGAACTGATACTATTGAATGTGGTTATTTTTTTCTTGTTTTGAATATGCATGACAATTTGCCCCTTGGTGTAGGCAAACACCAATCAAACCTGTATAAAAATCGACTTTTTTTCCAGTTTACCATAACCGTCCATTTCCCATCCACATCACTAGAAATAAGGGTCAAACTACACCACTGCAAAGTCATCCCCTCAATAGTTTGAAAATGTATATGCAGAAGAAATGTAGAAAAATTATGTGTCCTCATCAGATACTTGTATGATTAAAAACAGAAACATGGAGGTCCATCTGCATCAGAACCTTTGACCAAAATCATTAACAGACTTTAATAGAATAAGAGTCATCCATGATTTTAATGAGAAGAAACATTTATTCACGTTTCATTGATTGGTTTTTGCTTGCTTAACGTCCAGTGGTAATTATTTAATGTATATTCAAAACGAGAACAAATTAACAAATAATACAATAGGCAGGTTCTGCAAGGTAGACCGACTAGATAGATTAAAGGGGGAAAATAGAGACAGCTACTAAAAATGTGGGTATATCGGATGGGGCCAAAATTTAAAAAAAAACCAGTTCATCAACGAAACACTCAGGTAGTTGTTGCAACGGTTTTTTAATGTGCAAGGAAAATGGCCCTCTCCTAACCAAATGTGGATATATCGGGTGGGGCCAAAAAGTTTGCTTTGCAACAGACCATCAACGAAACACTCAGATAGTTGTTGCAACGGTTTTATAATGTGCAAAGAGAATGGCTCTCTCCTGACAAAAATAGAGGCATCGAATTTAACCTCCCCATGTCGGCCGGGCGATGCTGCGAAAATATTCACCCTTCACACCCAAATGGACGCCACACTTTATCTAGGAACTATCTGTCGGATTGAGAGAAGTCCAGGGATGACAATATCTCCAAAGTCAGAATGTTATAAGAAATGACATCACTGTCAGAAAGCAACAAGAAAGCATTTTTGGTTTTGGTTATTAATGTCTTTTTTTTTCAATTTTCAAATTTGTCCAAGTCCATCGAAATTGTAGTTTCGAGTCATCTATTTGGTTAAATGATTTGAAATACGACATAATGTAATTAAAAGTTCAAAGTACACAATGTCATATAAATTTGGTTAGCTGTGACTCTGGATAAAGTTTAAAAGAACTCTAAGAAAAGGCCCTCGTGTGAGTAATTTCAGTGGAAATTGCTTTACCCTCATATTCAGTTCAGCAGGAATGTTGTTATCCAGTTATATTCTTACGATTGTCTTCAAACTTGTATGGTGTCTATAATCTTTCATATTCACCATGTGCTTTTATTGTCATTTCTTTCCAAAACAATTTATGCAATTGTTCAGTTTTCAAAGGTCCATCAGAATTTAAGATATTTTTGTAATTAAAATGTATTCAAAATGCGCAACAAATATTCGCCTATCTCTAAAGGTCTCCGCTTGCGATAAAGATATCTGATTGCTCTCACTTTACTCAAACTAAGGGTTATCCCAATGACAATTTAGATTGACTGATAGATTATTGCTTGCTCAACGTCTAATGCCAACTATTTCATGCATATTCAGGACGAGAAACCGTTAATACTTAATACAATAGGTTCTACTAGGCAGCTTGACCAGGATGTAGGACGGAAAATTGAGGGTATGTAGGATAGAAGGAAAAATTATGCCTTGC